AACTTTTTTTTTACATTCAGTAATTTGCATTGACAGTAAGTTGCCTGCATTGTTGTAAAACTCCTAGACCAAAGGAAATGTTGAACATAAAAATGAAGTAGATTTGCTTGTTTTGTGCTTTAAAAAATATTTACTGTCAATTTGACTGTGGAAGTCTTTCAGGGTTTTTAAAATTATGATTACGTACTGAACTTATGAGAGTTCATCATTGGCACGTTGTTTGTTCCTAATTGAACAAAACAAATTATTATAAATTTTGATTAAATTAGTTATTGTTAGAATTAATTTATATTTAATATTGAGAAACTTTGTGGAAATGAACGAAAATAGAATTTTGTATTGAGGTTTTACACAAGAACAAACTGGTAGTGTTGTCAAGAGCTTCAGTGAATTGTGAAAATTATGTGATATCATTGTTAAAAAAGTGACGAGTCTCTAAGAGAAAATTGTGTCCAAAACATCATTTAGTATGTATGTCAGTTGTTTTAATTAGAAACTTAATGCATTGTTTTTGTGAATTGCTTACAGTTTAATTGTGATTGAGATGGTAACTAATAGTTGAGCAGCGAAATGTTGATGTGAACAGACTGTACTATTGAATGGTTTTTGTTCAAATAAATGTGCTTTTTACATTAGGAAGATACTGTTTTATTTCATTGAATCTACATTGAACAAACTGCTTTATTTTTTTTAATGAAAAAATCTGTTTTTTTTTTTGTGTTTTGAAAATATGTAAGTATATTTCTTTTGTTTTCCTTTTTAGTTGTAAGTATCGTGTTTCCAGGTAATACAATACCTTGAAGAGCAAAAACCAAGCCAATAGGTTTAATTTAAATAGAACTTATTCTCGCTGGACCTCTGCAATCATTGACCGCTTTGTCAATTTAAAAGTGAAAATAGCTTCCTTCTGAATCTTAATTGAGGAGTGTTTTGTTCAAAACTCGATGATATAGTATTTCACAAAAAGGGTTTTATTTTGAATGTTGTAAGTTTGAAAAAAGCAATTTTGGAGTAATAATACTTACTATTACACAAATATTTATAGAAAAATATATGAATTTATAGTTTGTATTGTGATAAGCCAGGTATCCCGGGTTTAATTTGCATGGGAAAAAGCGGTATCAAGGTGGTGTAATACAAAGCAAATGTATGCACGCGTGAGATCCAAAGAATATGCGTTAGGTCAACCAATAAAGTGTAGTATTCCATTATTGATGTCATAGCACTGTTCATTTGAGGAGGCATGGCCCCCAGGGGTGTTAACATGCTAGAGGTATGGAAATGGCATTGAAAGCCGTGATTCTGTGAAAAAGTTATTATTATCTCTCGAAAGCTCCCGAGCTGAACACATGGAAGCAATTGGTGCGGTGCAAATGTTTTTTTAGCATAGACTGGGGACTTGATAGTGAGGTGGGTATCTTATGATTAGTTTTGATGGCTTGGCATTATGCTGAGTAAGAAGTCGGTGTTATTCGCGTTGAATTATAATTGTAATTTTTGTTAATGTAATTTGGGATTTGAATTCCAATTGACTCCGTATTTCGAAGAAATTTATATTAGGATAGCTCCTTAGATAGGGCGGAATTTTGAGTACGTCGGCTGAAGATAGTCGTGCGCAGGTGCTTTTTCCGAAGCACAGCCAGGGCAAGTCGCGTCCATGAATTAATTTAATAGAAATTACTGAATCCTGTAAAGTGTTAACAAGTCAAGGATATTTCAGGAACATTTGTAATCTATTATAACGATAGGCAAGAGAGCGTTAATAGGGGTGTGGAGGAAATCCCACGGACAACATCGAGCCCGATCTAGAAGAACATCTGATAAATCATCGCAGTAAACTAACAAACTTTATCCAAAACCGTTCGGTACTTTAATGTTTGTTCAAAGTAAATGTTAATCATTTCATTCATGAGATCAATAGCATTTTGTAAGAATGTCAGAATAAATGTTAAATTTTATTATTGAGAAAAGAAAAGGCCGATAAGTAATTGTTGCCATCAATTCAATAATTAGTTTTAATCCACAGACCTTCCAGGAATCATAATTCTGTATAGAATTACACGTCCACATGCAGCAGGTAAGGAGAGAAATGTATGTCAAAATCCATAATTAAATTTAAAAGTGAAATTGATGATATGTAACATTGAGAGAATTTATGAGCATAGCAGCACGAAACAAATAATATTGATAATAGCAGAGGAAGTAATCCCTTCATATTCAATTCATATACTATACTTTGAGAGAAATCTCTCACATGCTTTATTTTACTTTTTATGTAAATTGTATGCATTGTTTCACTTTTTCTTATATTTTTCCATGCAAATAATTGGTGGTTTGTTACTGGTTTCTGTAGATACATATGGAGTATTTTTAGCTCCTTATTGCTAATTTTATGAAAAGGTAAAGAAGAAACAGTGAAAAAACAACTGGATATTTGATTATTTATAGTGCATGAGTAATATAATAAAAATAATAATGTTAAACAATGGCATGCCATTCAACAGTGGTGTTATCTACTTCTTTACCATGGAGCTATTCCTATCTCGGAAGGATACCAATCAAGGAGGAAGGATCCTGCTAGCCTACTTTGGACGCGTTGCTGTTGACTTCTAGTAATAATTTGTAAATTTTCATTGCCTCATTTGGTATTTTAAAATACATTAAGAGATTATAAACATCCTTCCCATTCGCTTCGCTAGCCATATTTTGTTTTGGTAAAACAGTGACTGACAGCATTGTTGCTGGGCATTGTTTTTTGTTTGTTTTTTTAATTTTAAAAACGAACTGGATCTCCCAAGAAAATACTTCTCACAGATATTACATTAGCGCAATTCTTTATCTTGTAAATGATCACATTCTGACAATTCATTTTGAATGGTAACTTCGATTTTCATTCTTTCTTTGCACTGTATTTTAGACTTTTAATGTTCTAATGTAATAATAGTCTAAACTAAAAATATAATACTTTTTAGGAAATTAAAAAATATTTTCTTTTTTTCTGTACGACTTTTCTATTCTACCAAATACTCTATCTGGAGCAGTGGCGTTCTCCAGCACTACTTGGATACGCAAAAATTAAAATTTAATGAATTCTGAGAATTAAAATTACAATGAACCGTATGCCACATGATCAAAAATGTTGTACCCACTGTACACAGGTGGCCAAATTATTAGACTTAATCTGTTATCTCTAACAATGGATTATGAGTCCTGAGATGCATCTGAAAATAATAACTCTAGTAATGTTTATTAGTGTGATTGGAAATATACACAGTTAATGGTACAATGAGGCAATACTTCGATGTCCTAAAGAACCAATGGTTCCCTCATATAAAAATTAGTTGTTTGGAAAAAGCCAATGATAACGCTCCCTATGACAAGAAAGAAAGTTGGAAAACATCTTCAAGACATTGATCAGTGTGGAATCCAATAGGCTGCAAATAGCCCGGACATGAATCCCATTGAAAATGTTCGGTCGATTAAAAGAAACTTAAGAGAAAGCCATATAAACCAGTTCATAAAACAACTCGTACGCATCCCGAAAAAGGAGTCAAATTGAGATGGATGGATTTAAAATTTATTTTCAATATACTTCAGAACAAATGTGTTAATTATGAAAAAACAGAATTTGTGTCAATAGTCGCGAAAAAATTTGGTCTTATTTAATAACTAGTCTAATAATTTGGCCCCCTGTGTACACTCTAGAGCCATCTGTGCGGCGGCCCTGCTCCAGCACTGCTCTAACCCCAGATTTGGCATTTCGCTGGGCGAGGGTGTTGCACGCATCTACTTCCTGGGCCAGCGGCAGGCGGCGATCGGAGGGAAGCCGCAGCAGATTATACACTGAACTCAGCTAGTTGGGGATGGATGACGTTTCTTCCCTTTCCGCTACTTCAAGGCCAGGCCTCGCCTAGCTCGCCCGGTCTGCGAACGTAATTACTCGTAAGCCAGTAAACTTATTTTAAATGGTATGTTTTGGTAATACACTTGTATCTCTCACGGCGCCACGCACGATGATGAGCCAACAGCGTGGATTCTACTGTTCGCTATATGCGCACAAATCGGCCTCCGGTAGTTCGACGATGTAGCCAGAGGGCTACTAAAAATAAAGGGCTGGAGGACCACCTCGTAAGAGGAAATGAAGGATCGGACGAATAATAAATGGAGAAGCGATATTAGCTTAAATATTAACTTAATGAATGAGGATAAAAAGGAGTCATAATGTCTCTTTGAAATAATAACATGAAACTTACTAAGAAAGAAAATGGAAAAACAAAACAATTATAAAGCTACTGTACTCTATACCAAATGCATGCCGGGCACGAGCGGTGAATTACTAATATAGGAAAACAAAATCTAAAACTTAATTAGTAATTTACATATAACAATCTTTAAAATTTTTTGACAAAATACAAATGACCAAAAGTTAATTTCCTAATGATCACAACTGTTCAATTCAACTCAATGAGATTGCATTTCATTGCTTAGAATGAACGTGAACCTAATTGAACTGCTTGGCTCGGCACCTCGGAGGCAGAAACAGGGACCTATTATGTTAAAGCGCTGAATTCGTCCCGATTGTTGCCGGGGTTTAGAACTTGCTGCGTGGAGGCCGATGCACACCTCACCGTATTCTCCAAGTCCGCGAATGCTCCAAGCCCCGGACACGATGACCAGGCAATGCGTTCTGTCGTGGTCTAATGTGATGCGATGTGGGCAGCTTGTACCCTGAATGATGCCGCGATGGGCAGCCTATAACCCTAACGGCGATGTGGGCAGCCTGTAGCCTTTAGTGATGCCGCGACGTGCAGTCTATAGCTCTAACGGCCATGTGGGCAGGCCCGTAGCCCTGATTGAATCTCAACTCTCCATTCCACTCTATCTCTGAACTCTGCTGGGGCGCTCTGGTGCACACAAATATAAAGAAACTGCCCGTCCCTGCCGCTGGGGTGGCTGTCACGAGCCGTGGCGGAGGGGGCACATAGGACACTATTTGGAAATGCATTTTAATCGTGAGATTTATTACTTACAATCTGAGTTCTTTACAAGTGATAAGTCATATGAATCATAACATCACACTAAGTAAAAATTTCACAAAAACAGGGATAAGAGTGTTTTGTCAATTATTTCTGTAATTTCCCAGTTGCAGTCACTGGCGATAAGTTGCTACTATGCGAACTGGTTTCTTCTGTGAGTTCCAAATACTTCTGAATAGCGAGTCCATAACACCAAGAAGTTTTGCAGATCTGTAAATAATATGTAGGTTCGTATAAATAATGCGAGTATCATTAGTAAGAATAACATTGAATCGAATATTCTATAATTATTAAGGTAAAAAGAAATTTGAACAGTGTGTGACATTTTGGTAAATGTTACACAGTGCTCAAATTTATTTTTTCCTTATCTTCGTAGGTAGGGAAGGGGATGGATTAAGCTTTAGTTTCTGTTCAGGAGTAAACAATAGAATTACTCCGGATTCATTATCAGGATTTCTGGAAAACTGAAAAACTACAATCAGAGGCAGGAGATCTTGCAATATAGAAAAATAACATTTTGAAAACCACCAATTATAAGTGAGGTATTAAAATTAACAATAAGTAAAATTTAACTCTTATATTAAAAGCTTGTCAATCATGTTAGAAGTAGGTAGTTTAGCTGTACTGACGTCTGAAGAATTAGAAAACGAAGGGAAACAAAAGCCAGGGAACCACCCTGTATTTGGCGTTTGATTCTTTTGTTCTTGGATGTGACGGGAAGATGGGGTAAGTTAATAAAGATATCATGATGGCAGGGTGGCATGTACTGATAAATCTTGAAGGTTCTTTCTCCCCATGTACTTAAATTAGTAACGGTATTTAATTGTAGTGCAAGGGGGTCGAGTAGTTGAAATAAACATTAGTAACCCTTTCTCAGTTTGTCAAGTGAATCGTAAAGAAATTATCCTTCTGAGAAAACTTAACTTTATTAGTTTTCTTTTACTTCTATTAAATTAATACTTTATTTTTTTTACTTTGATCCATTTTATTCTTTTCATTTAATCAAATTAATCTCGTAATATTAACCTATTTCTATTTACTACACTTATCAGAACTTTCTAGTAAATAGGTGGTTATTTGTTTTTCTTTCATTCTGGCTGAATAATAGTGCGTGTAGTAGTAATAAAAAAAAAACAACTAGAAACAGTTTTAGTAGACATCACATGGAATATTTTTATAATGGAATAATAGTTATCACAAGGAATATTTTTTCTCTTAATGTAGTTAGTATATAGAATTCATGGTTCGGTCACGTGAAAAGGCTTGAGTGTGGGAGATGGCCCAGAAAGGTATTTGAGTGATTTCTTTTAGTCAGAAGAAAAAGAGGTAGACCCAGAGAGGGACGGCAAAAAGCCGATTTTTAACGATATGCAAAGAAGGGGACTAGAAGAGAATGACTGGAACGATAGAGTGGGATGCAGATTGGGATGCGAGAAACGGCCACAAGAGCTGTAAAACACTCGCAAGAAGAAGAAGAAATAGAATTCAAATACGCGCTTAGCTTGCATCACGCGGAAAGCTACACGTGCGTACCTGCGGTGGAGGAGCTTCTCCAGCAACAGCATGGAGGCGGCCAGCGCGAGCCCGTACACGAGCACCATCAGCACCGGGTAGCACTCGACGATGCCCACGCTCACGAAGCTGGAGCCCTTGCCCAGGCACTCGGGCTTGGGCGTGAGCAGGCGGCGCCACGTGCGCGACTGCACGCCCCGCTCGCGCATTTTGCGGAACCTCGGCACGCAAGCGAGCGCGTGCAAATGACCAAGGTCGAGGCTGCTCCTCACGCCCGCACGTGGCAGTTAGTGTGAACTGGTGGACCCGGCGATGCTTCGCTATTGCAATGTATTGCACTGTAGGGGGAGGCGAGGCAGTTTGACGCAAGAGGCGCATTGATACGTCGGCAAGATTTGAAAACCGAGGGACGTCATGTATATAGTGACCACTAAAATGTGTATATGCTTGTGTTAGTTTTCCAGCTGCGATCGAGCCGCCCGCCAGTCAGCCGTTGATTTTTGAAGGTGATAGGTGTTTTCAGCGCAGCCAACTAAAAATTTGTGTTACGATGAAAGTGTCCTAGCGATGTTTTATGTCCATTAGTCAAGATTTGAAAATACCGAAGGCAAGAATTTTCCATAAAGTATTCAGGTTTACACGGGATTTTTAAATACGTTTAGTGATTTTATCAGTACTTGTTAGGATCATGAAAATGTCCATATCAATATCCCCGCGAGTGTGTCCATATCAAATACACATATCAAAACCCCGCGAGTGAGTCGAAGTGATTCAATGTACAAGTTTGTACGAAATATCTCACGTTTTCCTTTTATCTAATCTTAATAATCTGTGAAAGGAAGTTCTTGTATTTTAACAGGAAAGTTGTTGAGTATTTAGTTTGTTATAAATGACATTGGATTAAATGGTGATATCATTTATGCGGGGTTTGTGGAAAATATGAAATAGAAAAGGTATATTTTTGCCAGAAAATTCAGGGCTTTTTTATGAATTAAATTTTTTTATTGATGATAATCCTGTGCTTCCACATGTAGTTTTTTATCACATACAACCCTGATAAGAATCCTACACAATCTGTCGCAAGAATAACTTTTTTCTTGTGTGGATCGCCATGACTGGCGTCTCTCTTAAGAGAATCCCCTTATTGCGTTGCGCATGCTCTAGTTGTACAATACCATACATACTTGTATATCCTTAAAAAGTGCATAAAGAAGTTTCTGAATGAAATGGTAAACTATATAGTAGTTTGTAATATATATATATATATATATATATATATATATATATATATATATATATATATATATATATATATATATAGTAGTGTGTATATATCTGGTATATAAAGTCAATAAAAGACGTAAATGGAAAAAATAAAAAATATTTAATATTACACTGGATGGCAAACCCGTGAGCCCGTGCTCCGCGTGGGCGGCACTCACCCCATCTTGATGACCTCCTTGTACGAAGAGTTCTTCCGAATGGCGAGGTAGGGGTCGATGACCTGCAGGAATCGGATGGTCTGGATGCCGCACTTCTCGTCCTCCCGGAAGGTGCGCTGGATGATGTGGTAGCCCGTGCTGAACTCGGCGTGGAAGGCGAAGAGGCCGCGCCGCACCCTCCGGAAGCCCTCGTTCAGCTCCATGAAGCGCGCGGGCTGCCCCGGCGGCGCCACCTTCTTGCGGTACAGCGCGCGCCGCACCGGGTCGCTCGCCACCTGCCATCCAGCGCCGAGGTTAGATGGATCAGGGATTCCGGGCGGGGGGGGGCATGCCGAGGGCAGTCGCCCCATCTGTGTGGTGCGTGTTTTATCCCGAGAGGTGGGGGTGATGTTCTCAGCTGAATGGGGATCTACGTCGGCCTGCGGGGATTTTTCACAACGAAGTATCTTCCATCTCCGCCCCTGTCTGAACAAGCTCTAAGGGGCCCTTCCCACGTCGCGACGGCTGCGCGCTTCCGGGCGCCGAGGCTCGTAGCAGAGCATTGGTTTGAATGGAGACCTTCATACGTCGAGCGGGCGCGCGCTGCTGCGGCAAGCAGCGGAGAACTCTCGTTACGCGAAGCGGAGCAGGGGGTACGCTTCACCGCTAGCAGAACACAGTTTTAAATGGTAGCCTTCCCACTATGCCGCCGGACGCTGCGTTTTACCTGCTGCGGTTCTTTTGTTCGACGTCGCTGGAGGGTCGGCGAAACCTACTCCTGCAGAACCCATCCCCTTCCACGGCGGTGGTGGCGGCGTCGGAAGGGCTCTGCTGCTTGACGGAAACGCGCCGCCTTGGCGACGTGGGAAGGCTCCCTAAGCTTGCGACATGTGTGGTAGTGTGTGTGTGTGTGTGTATGTATGTAAGTAAGGGAGGGAGAAAGTCCACGACGAGAGGGTCGAAACGTGAGCACCACAGCCATCGCCGTGGCGTCACCCGGACACCCAATAACTTTCGCGTTCGTATGTCTCACCATGAAGTAGTGCCTGTTGTAGACGATGTCCCAGACGCCGACGTCGAGGCGGCTGTTGAGCAGGTCGGAGAGCGAGCGGATGGAGTGCGTGGAGGACTGCAGCAGCGCCACGATGTTGGCCGAGTAGGACGTGTAGAGGCACATGACCAGCACGAACAGCATGAAGCTCACGATGCGGCCCGGCACGCGCCGCGACTCGGAGGGCGACCCTGCGGGCGTTTGCGAAGGCCATGCAGGAACAAGGTCCTTATTGCACTCCGAATCGGATATGAAGTTATTACACACGTAGGTTGCAGTAGAGGCTCGACTCAAAATGTAAGAATTTTGGGTTCATGCACTCTCCAGAATTGCAGGTTGGTCTACCTTCCATCAGCAACAGTAGGATATCTTACAGTACAGTCATCTATGAGTACCAACAAATGGCAGAAGTGTGAATGCAAGAATGATGCATTTCAATACAAGGAGAAACTTTCTAACTCATTTATCTGAAAATCTGATTTTTTGGAGTGTCCTACTGTTGCATCCCACGATCGATATGTTAATACTGCACTTTACGGTAAATTATGCATGGCAGCTTTACGATGAAGTATTCATCGTATCTCTGTTTCAATACTCCCCGGACAAATGTAAATATAAGTCATATTTATAGTTTATATATAGAAACACCTGTTTCACTAATATTACCTTTTCTCTAACACAATTTTATGTTTTATATATTTAAAATTTTAAAAATATTAAAATTAAATTAAACAGTAAATAGATGATACATATTAAAAAACAACGAGTTTTGAAAACCAATCAGGTCAGTGAGGACTGAATCGAAAAACCAGGACACGTCCTGATAAATCAGGACATCTGGTAACCATGGGCAGGGATCGCCTGATATGGCACTGTCTCTGCAGGGACTCTCACCAGGAGGAACTAGGGTTCGAATCCCAACGGTGGCGGATTTTGGAGACTAACTTTAGCTGCAGGACACGGCTGGAGGAAAATTCTAGCTGCTCTGATCAGTAGCTTTTCCTGTGTTTTTTTCGATCAATACCAGGCGAATACTGGAGCTGTATCCTAACAAACGGACCACGGACCTCGTGTATCCTTGTCCACTATTCTCCCCTTACGCACACACGCATTCACTTACCACACACCCCTTACCACACACCAGTAGACAAAGTTGGGAGCTTAGAGCCCTGGGAGAGATTCCCGAAGGAGGACAGCTTTCCGACGCGTAGACTGGATCTCACCATCCAGCGTGTGAGGAACACCGCCGCCTCCTGAGAAAAAAACCTTCCATACATTATTTCGTGTTTCCCAGCGCGTCAACTGTCAAAGTCCTGGAGGTGTAGTACGTGTTTTTCCTCGAGGGGTGACGATCTTCCCCAGCTGGATTTTGAGATCTGGCGCCGACTTACACGTCAGCTAGCTGCGGTTTCCTCTCCAGGTATCTCCCACCAACGGACACCGCCCCAGCCAGAGCAAGCTTAAAGTTCCCGATTGGTCTCCCAACATGTGTGATAGTATAGGACATGTGAGGTTGTGCATAGGTAATAATAATAATAATAATAATAATAATAATAATAATAATAATAATAATAATAATAATAATAATGCCTTTATTCATGGTGAGGTTAGGACAAAGAAGAGGAAGGAAAGATCGCGGGTGATTCGTGGCCTGTTTATTAGGGTATTGCTGAGGCATTCGCCTGATATTGAATGGAGAAACCACGGAAAACTACCGATCAGAGCAACCGGCCGCTAAAATTCTCCTCCAGGCAGCGACTGAACTCGACCTCCCGGACAGAGGTACTGGAATCTTCCGTGCACTACCGGGTCTTTCGAGCCCAGCTGTGGACGCGCGTGGGAGCGTCCTCACCCTGCTGGCAGACGGCGCCGAGCGTGAGGATGGTGACGTCGGCCCAGCGCGCGGGCAGGCGCGTGGCGTCGGGCGGCTCGACGGCGTCCTCCCACGCGGCCGCCGCCAGCAGCAGCCCGGCCGTGAGCGCCAGCAGCGCCGTGCTCGCCGCCCACACGTCGCCCTCGAAGGGCAGCGTGAACAGGTTGCTCACGTACGACAGCGGCGGCTCGCGGAAGATGAACGCTGACCTGCCGGGCACGGGGTCAAGAAAGTATTCACTATGCTCTTGTGCTATACGGTTAATTCTCTACTATAGGGTCATTCTGACGTAACACGCATGAAACATTTTGAGTCGGGTTAGTACTTGCCGTGTCTACAAAGTTATGCATTTTATTAAGGCAAATAGGCGGAAAAGTTGTCTTATTTGTACACAACTTTACAAATAAGACACCTTTTCCGCACCTTTGCCTTAACAAAATACATAATTTTGTTGATAGAAGTTAGTAACCTCTATACTAACACACCTAGTGATACATTTGTTTGCTCCTAAGATGCAGGAATAAGTTCTGAATGTTCTGGTTGTAAATAAAAAAATTGCAAAATTGTAGTTAAGTAATTCTGACGCTGTCGTAACGAATCGGTACTAATTTCAAAGGTTGAAGGCCAAAATTACACAGACAAAACATGACTCAAGTCGTAGGTTTCCGCGGTCAGTCTTGCCAGTGTCTTGGTCCTCCGGGAGTTGCCGATTTGAAGGCTGTGATGCCAACATCTCGAACATCTTGTCGTGGTCTTCCTCAGGATGCAGATCAGCCATGAGGAAGACCACGCCAAGATTGTTGAAACGTTGGCATTACGGCCTTCGACGGGACGACACCCGACAGCCAAGAGCTCTGGCAAAACAGAAGTCTTAATCATTAGTATTTTATTATAATTTCCTCAACGTTATGGGCACAGTATATAATAGTGTCTGGAGGAAGTACCTACATTTTAAAGGAGGTGCCATTAACAAATTTAGGAAGGTCTAACGAACATGAAAATTTAAAAATTCGATGTGCTAAAAACATTAACAAATACGAAAATTTAAAAATTCGATGTGTTAAAAACATTAACAAATAATAAAAAGGTTCTAACAACAATGAGGGTTTCACCTCAGATTTATGTAAGAAGCAAGTCAAATAGCATAATAAAAAATGGCAGCATAATAAAACCGTTGGTTGGCCCACGCTTCTCATTGCGGATATCCGCTGCGCGCTCACCCCGTGGGCGTGGTCATGGCGATGTAGTCGATGACGGGGATGCGGTCGGTGGTGAAGAAGAGGCCGGTGCCCCCTATCTCCGCCTGGCCGCGCTGCAGGTACCCCACCATTCCGCTCCACGAGCCGTTGGTATTGTAGCCCCACGTGTTCAGCACCGTGTGCTGGATGCTGAATGAACGAATCAAAGGACTCAAGGTAACGTTTCGAAATCAGGGTGAGCGTTAGGAAATAATCTCTTTAGGAATAAACTCGTCTACGTAGTATACTAAACATGCAATACAGCAATTTTTTTTTTTTTGATTAGCAATTTTTCTGTAATGATTTGATAACATTTAGCGAACAATATTAATGAAATGTCATCTTTTTTCACTTAAGAACAATGCTCTTTAGTACAGAAATTCATTTTATGTTATAATAAAATGAAATTACAGATTTTTGTCATTTTTTGCATTTTCGTCGATTTTGAAAAAAGTCTTTTTAACCTTTTTACGTCATTTTTCTTGCTTTTTCGGTGTTTTCATAGATTTTAATATAATTTTAAAGGTTCCTGTTTCAAACAATATTTACGAGGTGCAACAAATGTTCAATATAGAATTCTCGAGTAGTTTCTTTGCTCATATATTGTAATGTCAGCCGTTGTGAATAATGTGTAATCTAAGGTTCCTGTCAGGCCTATCAGTGCCATTGTCAAATAGGCAGATTTTGCGATGAAGGCAGTGATTTTCCTTTAAAGAACAGTACAAACCAAACGTTTGCGAGTTGAATTCACTGGAATAAAAGAAAGAACTCTCGATTACATCAGTAACATCCCGAACAGCTTGAGTTGCTCATCTGAAGTGGTTTTGATAAAAAAACGTCGTTAATTGTATTAGTTCTGGGACATTTTAAAGCATTTTATGAGCATCATTTTTGGCAATGTTTTAGGTCATCAAAATACGCCCCATAATGATCATATATTTGCTTAAACTTAAATTTATATTCAGTTTTTGATTACCGTTAATGAGTAACAAAATATTTGTTCATTCTAAGTTCATATCGTAGGATTTGCGCAGCCGGGATCTATAAATTCAGGAAAAAATCGCTTCTTAGGCACAGTAGTCATCTTTGCGGTCGTCTTATCTTCGTCCTTCAGAGCGTATTGTATGAAGGTCGCGCAATGGCGACTGAAACATTGACAACAGTACGTTTAAATCTCACAGGTCGTCGAGTACGTCCAGATCGATTGGGGAGAATCAATTTTGAATAAAATGTTCTGAACGGTTTTGGGGCTAGAGTTGACCAGACACGTTTTGCTGTTAATCGACTTTTCTGTATCAAGGACTCACAAAATATGAATTCTGACTACACAATGTGTTGGAGAAAGTAATTACTACATATAAAGGAATAAGATTTGACATATTTCGTTACGAGAGAATTAGAGTTTTTCTATCTAAAAATCGACGTTTTTGGCACAATACTTTTTCTTACGAAGTATAGTGAACTAAATTGAAAACCAACCTCTCGCTGTGTGGAACTGTTTGTCGTTTCGACTTCTCTTCTAAGGAAAAAAGTGTGAAACTATAGTCTGCCCACTAAGACCGCAAAACTCTTACATGTTGTACGTAATGGCAATATTTACAAAATAAGACTCCACACACCGTATTGTTCCTTATAAGTGACTTCTCTTATATAAGGGGGGATTCCCTAGTGTGAATATTACGTCTCGGGACATCTCCCGTTGTCTCTGTGAGTAAGCATTTGATTTATTTTTGTTGAGAGGTTGGAAGCCTTTTCGCGCTACGACTGTCGTTTGTATAGTGGAACGGCAAGCTCAGGTAGGTGCACTGGAGGTCCAAAAGAGGCATTGACGCCTAAGAGAAGCTATGTGAAAAGTGAGTTTGCTTAGTGATTAAAGTGTAGTGTTTGTGGGCAAGCATATACAGAACGTTCAAAAAGTCTTTCCACAGTGGCCGTCTCCCCACTCCACCTTGCTTTATGTGGAAACGGCTGCATCGCGGGCTTAATCAGCACGACGGCGTTCGAATGCTATTCTCAGAAGCGCGCCCGCAGGAAGCAAGCATGAAGTAGTTGAAATAAAAACATGTGATCGTATTCTTCATGTCCAAGTGACACATTCAGTTTGACTATGTACAAGTTGTTTGTTGTGAGTCAGATTACAACAGTTAGAATGCTGACTCTGGAAGAACGTGTACTTTGGGTGGAACATGTGTTTCGAGCAAATAATTAGTACACGGATGATGTGAAACAAATGTTCTTGTTTGGGAATCTCAAAATTTCGAAAGGGCTATGGGCGCCAAGATCAGCGGATGTCACACCTAATTTCTTTTTCTGGGGATCACCAAAAAAAGTCTACAAAACACGTCCTAAAACCATGAGGAATTAAAAGATTCAATATCTTTATATGTACTGTTAATATCTCAAGAAACTTGAAAAAGAATTTTCGATAATGAGTATAAAAGAGTAAAGCTTTGCTTTCAAAGTTCTGGTAAATATTTTTAACACTAGATGTAATAAAATTATCATGAATATATACACACATTTCAATTGCTTTTTTTTTATTTTAGTGTCGCTTTTTCTTCCACTGTATTTCATGTTTCACATCGCGCTCCTTTATTGCTATTGTTTAACGGACCAGGACGAAACTGCCTTATCTGATCCAGCCCGCGACGTTCTGTTTCCGCATCAAAGAGGGTGGAATGGAGAGATAGCCACTGCGGAGAGACTTTTTGAACGCTTTGTGTATAATTTTCACTACCAATACACCATTATTAACGGGATGTCACAAGTAGAAGCGGGCTCCGCTCACCTGGCGTTCATCATGTGCGCGACGAGCCCCACGAGCACGAAGTCGACCTTGGTGATGGTGTCGATGTGCTTGTCGACGCCGTCGTGGAGGTGGCGCAGGGTGGCGCGGTCCGTCACCACCATGGCGGACTTGAGCGCCAGGCCGCGCAGGTCGCTGCGGCGCGCGGAGAGGGCGGGGGCGGCGCGCCAG